CTGGCCCCCAAGGGGGGAGGATTGTGAGATCTCACGTCGGTTGAAGAGGGGAACGAAATATTTCTTATAAAGGTGTGGAAACCTCTTCCTAGCCGACGCGTTTTAAAACCTTGAGGGGAAGCCCAGAAGGGAAAGTCCAAATAGGACAATATATGCTAGTGGTAGGCTTGGGCTATTACAAATGATATCAGAGCTAGACACCGGGCGGTGTGCTAGCGAGGACGTTGGGTCACCAAGGGGGTTGGATTGTGAGATCCCACATCGGTTGGAAAGGGGAACGAAACATTTTTTATAAAGGTGTGGAAACCTCTCCCTAGTAGGCGCGTTTTAAAACCTCGAGGGAAAGTCCAAAGAGGACAATATCTACTAGCAGTGGGCTTAGACTGTCACACATTTGCATTAATTTTATTGATTTGTTTCATTATATATGTAGTTTGGGGCTCGTGGAAACCTCGAGCAGCACGGGTTTGCTCGAAACAGGATTTGGAAAATCGACGATAACCCTCCTCCTCTTACTCGTGGCGAAATCAAAGACAAATCCTGCATCGATTTGCTTCTTAAACCTTCTGAAGATGATCTGAAAATATGGCCACATAGGTTAGAAATGAATGGATTGTCTCCTTTCAAGCTCAGATTATGAAGCTCAAGATAACAACAACCTTTTTTTTGTTTCTCCCAACAGTTTTGAATTCAGACTCAAGATCTGTTTGACAGCAGATGGCAATCTCACTTTAATATCACGAATTCGTAATATCAATTGCAAGCCTTTCAGTTTCTCCATTGCATTCCACACATATTTCTCCATTTCTGATATCAGGTATGAGTAGCTCTTTGCATACTCTTCTTTGATGGTTTACAATGACACTAGCTACTGTTCTTTCAGTGAGGTAAGGGTCGAGGGGCTTGAGATTCTCGACTATCTCGACAACTTACGCGATAAACAACGGTTCACCGAGCAAGGAGACGCCTTAACGTTTGAATCTGAGGTAAAAGCTAATAACCCAATTGTACTTAAAACTCCTGAGTTGATATTGGTTCAAAAGTCTAGTCCCTTCATTAACTATTCTTTCGCTGCTCGGCAGATCGATCGGGTTTATCTTAGTTCTTCAGATCTCGTTGCCGTGCTTGATCATGAACGAAAACGCACATTTGTTATAAGAAAGGAAGGACTTCCAGATGTTGGTAATATTATCAATCCCCTCTGATTTTAAGCAATATAGCCAAGCAGCTTCCTTAATAAGAACACGATGGTTGTTTGAATTCTGGTTCTGATCATGCAGTGGTGTGGAATCCATGGGAGAAGAAATCGAAATCCATCGTCGATCTCGGGGACGAAGACTACAAACAGATGCTATGTGTTGATGGAGCTGCAATTGAGAAACCCATTACACTGAAGCCAGGTGAGGAATGGACTGGCCGTTTGGAACTATCCATCCTCCCCTCGAGTTAACGACCCGACCTGACTCAACCCATAAGGTCATGTAAAGAAGAAAGGATCGAACCCAGTCGAGATCCCAGTAAAGCCATTGAAGTTTATAAATGGTGTATATGATAGGTAAGTAATTATGTGGTTTGTTCCAATCAAATTGCTGTTGAGTAAATAACTGAACTGTAATATACTATAGTTGTCACATACATGTATGTATGTGATGAATATTTGAAAATTTTCCCATTCAAATTTAATTTAATTTTATTATTAAAAAAATGCCGACTGGAAATTACGTTTATGACCTTTGGTTTTATTTTTTAAACAAAAATTAGTTTATGAAACTTTATTAAATAATTATAATAATTCTCATATATAAGAAAATATATTAAAAAAATAAATATTAGTCGAAACGATTTTTTGAGAAAATGTAAAAAAGAAAAGGGTCGTCACGTGCAGTATATATGTATGAATTAAATCGTATGTCTTTATTGGTCAATTTAATCCTTTTTTTTTTTTTGTTCTTTTAAAAAATAATTAATTTATAGATAATTGTAGTTAAATTACAAAAAATATATATATAATAATTATTTAAATTTTAGGGAGCGTTTTAAATTACATATTGAATTATATTGGAATGTTGAAAGCATTGTTTGTTGTTTTGTGGCTCAATAAGTATGCAAAATTTGAGTTGTGCCCAAACATTATACAACCCAAAACCCACCAATTGAAACAAAAAACAAAAAACAAAAAACAAAAAGCAATATTTTCTTGTAGTTTGTGTCCATTAATTATGATAGTGAGAAAAAAACAAAGGATTTTGTCGAATCCCATGTTCTTCTTCCTTTGTTTTCTTATTATATGTTTGTATTTCACAACTTGCTTACCAAAAGACACTCCCATTTTAATTCCTTCTACCGTACCCATCTAAATCCACCCCCAGCAAATATGGTTCTATTTAGGCTCTCTTTTATGATTTTACCTCTCTAAGTTTTAATACTCGGGAGAGGTTTAGACTTTTTCTTTAGAGCTTACCTCAAGGTTTTAAAACGCATTTATTAGAGGGAGGATTTAGCTTTCCCTTCCAGATTTCCCATCAAAGTTTTTAAACACGTTCAATAAGGAGAAATTTTCACACCCATATATTGAATGCTTCATTCTCATTTTCAATTGATGTGAGATCTCACAATCCACTCTCCTTGAGGGCCCATATTTGGCTCTGATACTATTTGTAACCGCCCAAATCCATCGTTCTTGTCCTCTTTCGACTTTCCCTCAAGGTTTAAAAACACGTCTGTTAGAGAGAAATTTTCACACTCTTATAAGCAATATTTTGTTATATGATCTAATTGATGTATACATACATACATACATATATATATTTCCAAACATCAATCCTCAAATTTACTTTTTCGTACTTAAGACTACTTCACATAAATCAGATAATCAAAACCAATTTCGTAATCCATATGTATTTTTTTATTATTTCACTTTGTTGCTAATCAAATTGTCTACGACACATCTAGTAATTACTTCTGACCCTCGAGATGACTTCTGACCCTCGAGATTTTGTTTTGTTTTTTTTTTTTTTTTTTTTTTTT